CCATGATTTTCGCGTGTCCTGCTGGTAAACTACTTGGTAAAAAACTTAGTTCTGTTGTGAGGTGCTGTCGACCAATTTCGACGCGTGAAATTCAAATTTCACACTGATGTGCCCATCTGGTGTCAAATTCGGGACAGTGTGACGCCTGCATTACACCGTTTAAGAAGACTTGACCGCCGCGTCACTAAATAATTATCTTAAACGTACAGTATATGTATTACTTATTCATGTTGACTTAGAACAACAATTTCGTGATTTGCAGAATGTTTTACACATCTACGACACATGACTGATGTTTATTTTATATGCATATTGACATTTAAATATAGAGATTAAGATATAAAGTATGGGTGAAAGTTTTTTTTTTAAGACGATCGTAGGGTGTCTGCAAAATGGCTCTTACAACTCGATATCAGATAAAAGTTGTGTCACCTCTTTAATTAAGCATTACATTTTCCAGGCAGTCACATCATAGGTCAACAGGTGGTTGAGGTCAATTTACACAATCTTGCATGTAAAGCAATAACTATTAACATTTTCATAATATCTAGGATTGTAAATACAGTTCATTCCTGTCATATTGAACGTAATAATGTTTTACTTTATTTTTCTAAAAGTTTATTGATGACAATTAATTTCTTAAATTGTTAAAATGATATCAAAAAAGATACTGTGTGAGAGCTATACGTGTATTATCTATGTAATAAATTTGAATGTATCCAGAAATTCTACAGTGTGACTTCTCCTAATGCAAATCTGCCCATCGCAATTATCACTATCAGCACTGGTGTCTTCATGAAAGAGATGGGTAAACTCATAAGTGTTGTGTAAAAGGCGATTTGCAAATATACAATTATAATGTCGTTTATAGCCGAAAATATTACTTTTAAATCTTTTTATTCAAATAATTAGAGAAGAATTGCGTATATTTAAAATGCATGATGTAAATGTTATAAATATCTAATTGATAAAAAACATCATAAAAAGAATAGGAGAGGCTTTATCATTTCAGTTTATATAACTACAGTTCTACATAATAATAATGAACTATATTGTAGTTTTAAAATAAAAATGAAAATCTCGAAAACCCGTTTAGTCGAAGTAAGTCTTTATTTTAAAATACAATCAATTAGTAATTGATTGGTATTTTGGTAACTTTTTCAAAATGCGACTGTCATCAAAGAATAATCACAGCTTTGAACTTAAGACAAGTCAATTCAATTCATAACGTTATTTCAATAGAAATTTGAAAATATTCAACGGCAATTTAACACATGTGTTTCACAACAGTCAAGAATATCATTATTGCTTTGTAACAAAACATGTTATGAATTGAACATTATTCTAACTTTTTGTTTTACCTTTTCAATATTTTGCCTTATCTTGTAATGAAAATAATTGAAATATTTGCTGTTTGCTTTAAATTACTCCACTAGGTACATGGACTTCTACAGTGCAAAAAGTAATAAAGAGATCTAAATCTCTTACCCAATAGGGGTCGGAAAGTCATGTATAAAGGTGTCTAATAGTTAATGGGTCTAGAAGTCATCTTAATACCATAAGGGATCGAGCAAACAAGGAGTCTTAGTGTCTTACTTGCCTTTAGATGTCCTTTTTGTTTGCAAATCAAATATGAAAACTGCGCAACATGTAAGGTGCATGTGTACTCAGATTTTAATATATATTGCTTTGCGAGCTTTCGCAAATTTATAACTAGACAAGTTTTCTAACTGTTGTAGGTTAGAATCCCACCAAAGACATATGAGAAAGCTAACGAGATAACTTACAAAACGTCGGTGTTTCTACGTTCCCGTTCGTGCTTGGAGGGGCACCATAGGTGTAATGGAAAATAGCTTTACTTGTGATGGTGTGACGTTTGAATGTCTAATCTAATTAGGACTTTACATATTATATCTATTAGAAGTGTTAAACCTTATTGAGACAAATCAAATTATTATCTTTTTTTTTGTAATATTTATTTAGTTTTTCGAAGAAGCTCCTTCTTATATAAACTCCAAATAACGTTTTATTTCTCCGAAACACTTCTTAATAAGAATTACAAATTTTGATTTCTCCTTATTATGAGTGAAAATTCTTATTTTATTGTAACTGGTAGTAAATAAATGAAATACGGTTTTTTATATTATAAATTTTCCTAATTAGGATAATCAAAGTCCTAATAAGGTTTCTTATTATGATTCCTAGTTAAGATTGAAAAAGTCCTTACCAAACTTGTAAAGTCAGAAAGGAAGGTCGTAATTAGGCTTTTAAAACGCCTTATCACGATTTGAACAATTGTTTTAGAACATTTACATTTTTCACCAGACTGATCTGTACGAACACACTTTTGTTAACCTTGCCATTTTATTAGAGATTTTCGACCATGCGACCACAATCATGCATCGAGAACACGATGTAATGAAAGTAACCGTGCAACCACATACAGGCATGATAGGATTCACCTACTCTTCCGAGAAAAAAAAGGAAAACGTCAGCCTTTAAAAATACACCACTGCCTTATTGTTATTTATTCGTAGGCTAGTTTTCAGATATTTGTCCTGAATTTGTTTATATGCAATAGAACATTACGCAAACCAAGCAGTGTATCAATTTATGTTCTTTTAAGTCGACTATGAAATTTTAAAAGGATTACTTATAATTTCTTGGAGAATTTTGAGTTTAAAGTTTTCTTCTACTTTGCATTTTATGTATTTAACAGACTTATTCTACTTTCTATTTCTATCATTTTAACTTTTAAGCAAAACGTGAACTTTTCAAAGTATGCTATTGCCATTAAACACTGGAAATATATTTCACACATTATTTTCAATTTTTAAATATTAACCTTTGGGTATTTTTGCCAAAGTACTCTTGATTTAAAAATGATCGTAAACGGAACTTCTGTTCTGTTTATCGTGCTTCGACTTATTATACTTCTCTAATAGTAAAGGTAATGTAATTGGTTTATCCATAAGCCATGGCAATTACAGAAGATACAACTCTTTCCCATTCAAGAAAGTTGTCTCGGATTTATATGTTATTCCCAAGATCGCATAGCAATAATATAATATTTAAATATTAATAATGAAAATAATATGCACTACATGTTAGATTAATTCCTTTTCAGGCTATACGTCCCAAAGGAAATCCACGCAGATCACAGAAAGTCACGTGGTTTAGACACCGTTTAATATTTAAAAACATTTCATAATAAGTCATTCTCTGGAGATTTGTTTGAGCTGTGTCTTTCCTTATTAAATATTTGTCTGAGAATAGAAGAAAAACTCTATTAACCGTGCTGGCACAAGTCATTGATGTTTAAAGTTATTTTTACTGATTTATAACTGATTTATACAATCCTTTTGTTTGTTGCTTTTGCATAAAATATAAACTGTTTCAGAGTGTTTTAACATGAACAATAAAATTCTTAAACTTAACAAATATTTGTTTGAAAGATATGAAAGTAATTGGAAAGTTCTAGATGCCCAAAAATCGTTTTTAAAAATAATCAATTTCAAACTAAAACTATCTATAGAAAATAGTTTATGGCAAAATGATGCTCATATCCAATTTTCAATCTGTTACAAACATCAAAAAATAGTAAAAGGTTTACTGAACCTTATGGTCACCATTAAGAGTAAGTATTTAATAACTATTTTTCTTTCCTAGATAGTATACGACATTTATTGAAATATCAGAAAATCTCACCATCCTATTTTTTATAAATATTTTTTAAATTTCATGCCCTATCTTTTTTTTTGCTCTAATTTCAATCATCATGACATATTTAGTGGAATTAATTTTTTGCATAATTATGAAACCTTTTTATAGAAATTATCTATGTCTTTGATTTCATTTTGGACCTATACAAATTAGAAAGTGACTGTAAGTAACAAGTATTCATTGTGTTTTACTTATTTTCATCTTAGATAAATGCATGCTCGTAAAATGAACTATCCTTTTTACATGCTCAAAAGTAACATATCTTTTCCAACAATTAAAATCAGTGTTGGTATGTAAAAAATCTAATAAGATTTAAATCAAAAATATCTTCATATATAAACCATTTCATCGGAGCATTTATCGTCGAGGAAGAGATACTTCCTTATGTAATACTTCAAGGGAATTCATCTGAGCCAAATAAATTGCACTTTGCAATTTCATCACAAGGTATTTTGAGACAAAAAATTTACATACATCCATTACAAGACTTGCAAATTTGATCAATTATTTTCCACCGTTTTATATTTTATGTTCATTTCTTTCTTTATATCAATGTCGTATATAATATTACGGCATTATATCAATCAAGAGGACCATATAATTCTTTTTCCATTTGGTAAAGTTGATATTAATTGCCTTAAAACATATATATGTGGATCTCATATATAAAAAAGTATATAACGACATGTTAAGATAGCTTTAAAATCTTTTATTGATTCCAACAGTATAAAATTTAACTTCAACACTTCAATTTTTTTAAGGTCAATGACTATTATCGATTTCCACAATCTAACCGATTGTTTCAACAATAATCCGAAATTCAGTGAATGTGAATTATTTATGTATAAAGTTATATATTTTATGAAAATTTCCCGCTTTCCATGTTCATTTTAACCGTTCTGCTTCTGATTTTCGTCATATGTCATTGCACTGTGTTTGATATATATTTGTTATTGCTGCCTTTCATAGGACGAAATTGATTAAAAGACACAGTGCAAGGCTAAATAGTTATTCTTAACGCGTATTATGATTAAACTGTTGGATTTTATTAACGTTCAACACTTTCTAATACTTGGAATGCAAATGAATAATGTGTCTTAGTGAATAAAACTCCATTAAATAAAATTTCAACTAAAAGTATAATGATCATATTCAGTGTCAATCATTTTTTTCTATTTTTATTTTGTTCAGAAACTGTTTTTTGTTTTACATATTTAAGTAAGGATGGTGTTGAAATACAATATACTGTCAAGTTCAAACGTGAATGCCGAGGAGAAATGGACATAATAGTCACCTTAGAAAGTATTGCACTCCCGGAATGTGTTATGGAATGTGGAATGCGGCCGGACTGTAAAGCTTTGAGCTATATGAAAATTTTCAAGAAGTGCAATTTATACTCTTCAGACAGACACGAAAGTGACAGAATTAAAGGAAGTTGTGTGGAGATTCTGGCAGCGGATATTAATCTCAAAAGGGTAAATATTTTTATGTTCGTTACTTCTTTTACACACTATTAAATGATCATTATTACATATCTATGTGGAATCATTTTGATTTGAGTGATTTAAACAAACATAAGTTACCAAAAGCTTCCAAATAATATGCAAATAAAAAGGAATGTCTCATTTATAATCAAACGTTAAAAATGATACATTCATTTTTATTGGTAAAAACATTTGTCTGAGACTTTATCGAAACTGAATTTCAAATAATTTAAATGAAATGTTATATTCCGTAATATCTTTATACAAATAAGGTGTTCTAACAATATTGATAAATCCCCTTTGAGCATCAGATTAATAAAAATATAAAACCATTATACAAAATTGTGTTACAATGTCTTCAAAAGTGATATTTATAAATTCCTTTACATCATACACATGTCACCTTTCTAATTCTTATTATCAGTTAAAGTGGATACAATAAGAATTTCACAAACGACACATGTTATTATTTAATTTCATCCATGAAATATGGTGCTATATCAGTCAGTCAAATATATTTCATATTTTAAGAAATAAATATGAAATATAGATATGAAAGTGGACGGAGTCAAAACTCATATTTATTTAAAGGGACTTCTTTTGCCATTTAATTTAAAAAATCTGATAAATACAAAAAAAAACTTTTGTTGAATTTTGTTTTGAAAACTATTTAGAATGATAGAAAATGTTCTTATTAAGAAAATAAATCCGAACACCAATATCTTTAATTCAGTAATTAACGCTGTACAGACGTTTACGTGACATCACAATGTAGTGCTAAATTTCGCGTGTAAAACAAGACAATAATTATATTTCTGCGCGCTGTACAATTGCAGATGCGTAGCAAGCAAGGGGATTCGTAACCTTTTTTCTTTGATAATGAAATTAAATAAAAAGTTGTTTTTTTCGTTTTTTTGTGAAATATGGTTTACATTTTAACTCAACATGATAAAATCCCACATATTTTCACTCGCCGTCTAGGCTCGTGAAAAGGTGTGGCATTTTATCATGTTTCGTGAAAATATATTCCATATTTCACTCAAACGAAAAAATATCCTCTTCATATTAGTCGTTTATTTTACTATTATTCAAATTAAAGGTCAGAGTAGGGATCTATCAATTATTGGTATTGTAAAAGACAAAAGGGCAAATAGATTAAACATTACTTTTAGGTCTCGAGAACATTTTACTAGGTCAGAAATTATGAGGCACTGATTCACCTTGTATATGATTTTTTCCATTTAAAACTATACTATATGTATTTTATCATATCACGTATGTTATGTAAAATTTAGATATTAGTATACTTGCATTATGCCCTCGACTTTATTTAAGGAAATTCACTCGTATACTATATGGATTGACATACTGATTGGTCATACGTTTGCGAGGCAATTAGTAAACATTAGAAAAATGAAGGAGAGGTATATAATAATGTTTTATAATATCTTTCAACAGAAACCTTGTCCCGAGTGTACTTCTGGCGAGACTTGTAATCCTGCAAAAGGGAAATGTGAAACCACAGGTAAAATTCCGTTTTAAAATTGTGTCAATCTCCTCTGTAGCTATTGAATACATTTCATTTTTAAAAAATATTGAATGAGTTATGGTCCAATACTGAACTTATTTATAGCGGTAAATGGAATATGGTATGTTATTGTCAACGAGTTAAATGAATTTAGTAGAAAAGCTAGAGAGCTGCAGTCTTGTTATATTACCATTTCCTTAAGTTCCATTTGACCCACAGTGTTCAATCATCATTGGATGATTGTCAATAATAACGAGAAAACCCCTTTTAATTTATGAGTCACAAGATCAAAAGTCAAGGACACTGTTACCTTATAACTGAAAACGGTTTTCCCTCAATTACTTAAAAATTAATCAACCTTCAGCTGTAACATTTATAAGATGAACAGCCATGGCCAAAACATGACAATTCATTTAAATATGAAGGTTCTTAAGCCATAAAGGAGAATTGTTTTTTGAAGAAGGTAACATTTAGTTGGCATGTCTTACACATACTTCATTCTTACTATAAACAATTTCGGACATATAATGCTAGCGGTACTCTATTTTGTGTTTTATAAAAATGCCTTTTCGTAGAGACAAACTTTCATGCAATCATACAGACTGCTTTTCGGCTTTGATCATTTTCTGTAGAGATATCCCTAGATTTCTTCCCAGGCCATAACAGTTCCATATAACAGTCTCGTCGCTATTCTGAAAGTATAAGAAAACATTACTTTATAACGATTAAAATCATATTCATCCAAATATTCAAAACGTACCGGTGTTGTAAAATAATTGATTTATAGATATTTCAAACTTACAAAAAATATAGAGAATAAAGGGATCTGCTAAGATCGCCAAAACCACAAAGTTGAAACTGTTGCAGGCTCGGTTTGATTAAGCCTTTTCCGTTTCTCAAAGGAAAATATAACTTTGAAATGTGTATAATTTAGGTATACATAATACATCATAGTGCATCATGATATTAGGAAGTTGAATCAATAAATGTGTGTGGATTCGTTACATGCAACTGTTTCGCGGAGATTAACATTCGATAAAATTTTCCCAGTGCAAGAAAGCTATTTTAAAAAGCGCATATTAGTTTCTAGGAATGTAGTCTTTAAAACCAAGAATATTAGAACCAACTAACTAGAAAGCTTAAATGTAACAAACACAACAATTATGACCAGCTGAATTTCACGATCTTCAAGGATTTGAAATATAGAAGATAGGAGACATATTCAAAAATTAGTTTTAATATACAAAGGCAAAAACATTTTATTACCACTTTATCTAATACATTTAGAAGCCACTTTTAGAGATGTCTAAAAATAGGCCTTTAAAGGTTGCTTAGCAAGTCAATGGAGCGTAACAAGTCCAAGTCGGACAGCATGTTCGGGCTTTACAGAAAACCTTATGTGCAGGTAGTCCAAGAAGCGCAGCAAATCTTTATTTTGCAGCCAGTCCAATATTGTGTGTTAAAATTTTACAGCAGGTCAAACGCTGCAGCAAGTCCTGTCAGTGCTACAAGTCGAGAATTGCAGCAAGGCTTCATAGTAATTCTTAAGCCAAACAAGACGAACAGACTGCTCTGAATAGTAATTATCCATTAATATTAGTTTAACCAAACTAAACAAAACTTGACTTTTAGGGTTGCGTTCTAACTGCCTATGTGGTCGAGGGGTAAGAGTCGATGACTTCTAATCCAGTTACCTCTCCGGTGTGGGTTCGATCCCCGGGAAATGCTTTGGTAGTTTAGCGCGGAGGAAGATAGTCTAGTACTGGTGTTACTCTCCAGGAACGATGGTTAGGAAACAAACCGCCTATATGACTGAAATACTGTTGGGAAAAGGCGTAAAATGAAACAAACAAACAAACATTGAACGCCGCCTGTCCTTGCTGATCTTGTTTATCATAAGTTATATTAATGTCTTATCCTTTATGTACCAGAGTGTCCAATCAAAGAGCTAGAATATGGAATTGTCAGTGGAAACATAAGGAAAGTTGGTTATCATGTTCAATATACATGCAACAAAGGAAACACGATCATTAATGAAATAGAATGCCTCTCTAATGGATTCTGGGATATAACCGCCGGTAAATGCTCAAGTATGTTGATTTATATTTGAATTTTTGAGTGTGTATCATATACTCTAAAGAACTATAGAATTTGATTAAGATAATCATGATAATGAAAAAACATATGACTATTTTGCAGTTATTGAGTATTCAAACATTTAAAAGTTACATTTTCAAGCTATTGTGATATGCACAAATCACTATGTAAGATATCGAAAGCTATCTACCCGTCGAGTTTAAAGTAATGTGTAACTTTAGTAAACAACAATATTTATTCATTTGTGCTCGGCACGATAATAACAAGATGATCTATTATACAGTGGCTATTGAATTGATGAAGAAAACAGAAATCTAAAACGTTGTAAATACATGTAGTAAAATCATAGTAGTAAATTCAAGGCTTTGTAATAGAGATTGTATAATACTATTTTTCATCTATTTAGCCGATGTCAGAAATGTTGCTATTAGGAAAACAACACACATGTCTAGCGTTTACTATGACAGCGATGACACCGATGGCGATGGATCGAAGGGTGTAGACGGCAATTTAAATCAATCATGGTCAGGTCGTTCCTGCTTTCATACTAATATTGACCTTCATTCGTGGTGGCGGGTAGACCTTGGACAAATTTATCGCTGTTTTAGAGTAGTGTTATACAACCGCATGGACTGTTGCAGTAGGTTACTTATCCATTTGTTTTAACACCTTTAAAGTATTTGATCCCTTCATCGGTGCAATTTATATTAACTTCATTTCGATCAAAGAGCTATGGTGAATTCATTAAATATGTAACTTTAAAGATAATTTAGAATGACGGGCAAAATTAACATCATAAAAGTTTCCTTATATATTTTTCTAAAACAATTTGGTTATTAATAGGTGAACGAGCTTCAGATTTAGATTTGATGTTCGGGACGACGGAAAACAATATGTACATCGTGAGGCAAGTTGATGGTCAGATTGAGGACATCCATACGTTTAACTTCCCTGAAAGTAAAGAAGCACGATATGTTCAAGTGATGCTTAGAAGAAAACAGTACCTACATCTGTGTGAAGTACAAGTATTTGGTTTTGCAAGTAAGTCATCTGCAATCATTTTCATGGATTTGAGTATTCATTTGAAGTTATTATGTAGACAGTTTAAATTGTCGAAATAACAAAATTAACGAATATGTTTATTTATTTGTTTGTCTTTTCAGTTAACTTATAATTCAATTCCAAAGACATTCTGGAGCAGTAATATTACACGTTCGCCAATTTCAACAGTTTACACTTTTCGAGCGGAACACGACTGAATAAATACACTCGTTGATAAAACATTAATGATCATTGTATTGAAAGTTGTAAGATTTGCACAAGGCATATAACAACACAGGCGAGTGCACGGGACGCCATATTGATTTTTTTAAAGCAATGACAATACAGTTTGTATTACGTGACCAATAGGTACGAAAATAAATTATCACAGAAAGTTTAGATATAAAACAAGGCCCTTTGTTCACGATTAATAAAGGATCATAATCAAGATGACAATCGAAATATAAAACTCAAAATGTTTACATTGTTTATTCTAACATAATGATTTTTCGATGTCTACTTAAGAAAGTGGGCTTGAAGAAGGATGTCTATTGCATTTTGAAGAACAAGTATAAGATATGATACGCTTTACACATTGATCATTATTGTAATATTGTAATACAGTTGACGCTCGGTAACTCGAATTTCAAAGACTGGGCATTTCACAAAATATGTTGGATGGAGTTTAAGAACAAAGATAAAGAAGGAAATTTGACGGGTATTAGAAATTCTTCGACTTATGCGGAATTTTGAATTTTGAGGCAAATTTTGACTTATCTAGAGTCAACTGTATTTAACGTTTATATTGTTAAACCATAATTGTATCCCAACTTTAACAATTGTCATTGTTATATGTTACATAACTTTGAAAACCATTTCTGAAACGTTGATACGAAAGCACACCTATTTAAACGACAATACAATACGTCAACAAGGAAGGGAATCATTAAATCTAACTCCAGTCTATATAGTTTCATTTATTATACTGCATTTTTCTCTGTGTCATGTTTTATATATTATAACTTTTCCTGTGTCCATTAACAGGATCAATCAAACCGAGCCTGCAACAATGTCAATTTTGCCGTGCTTGGCTTTTTTACATTGCATTTCCCTCTTGTGTATAACATTCAGTAATATTCTGTTCTCTTTCTTAACATTTCAGTGCCGGTGTGTAAGATTTGTGATTTCCAATTACTGAAATAATTATGATGTTTGTGATTATAATGTTCTATGATATAATGTCTCAATAGCTAATATATCAAGTTCAATTAAACTGAGCGTATACCTTTATTAAGATTTGTTTTCAGCAATGTTTCATTTAAAACTGATCTCTATTTCAGCATCGTGTATGGAAGACACATAATTACAGTGGAAAATACTGTTCTATAAATTCATATATTAAAAATGTTACACATGTTATAGAAACATGTTATTATGATACAAAATTATTACGTTTGAATCTTTTCTCTTTCATGACCCTTCACATAATGTCATGCGGTAAAATGTCATTGCTATTGCTCTGAAACAAATTATCAAATACATGCTGTCAAAACTACATTAAAAGCTATTAATATGAAAGTTGACATTGAATCACGCGTCATTAACTGATACCTATAGAATCCGATTGAAAAAATAATTTTAGTGAAATATTTATGTAAAATGCATTGAAACCGAATAATAATAGTAATGTTTTTTGAGGGGGTAGGATTTTTTTATGTTTTATATTATAAGTATTTTCATTATTATTTTCATCTAAATTTATTCACCGAGAATATTATGAAAATAAATAAAGTTAAACAATTCAATTATGCGTATACCGGTAGTTATATTTTATATATTCTATAGTGAATGTTTCTATCAATTATGTACGATTCTTCATATTACTGATGAAAGAGAAAAATAAGAGCTATATATCCTTTCATCCTGTGTTAATAAGTTGTGGGATTTAAAATGAAATAGAAGTAATACATGTCTAGATAAAATGTTATTCGGTGTTGTAAGATGGTCTTGAATTTTTCGGATTATTGATTATTTTGGCGTAGATATATGTAAAGAAATCGAACACATTTTTTGCAAAATTTCAAGTTATTTTGACTCTTATATGTGCACTCACCATTTACACTTGGATTGGCATAATGTCACTTATATAATTATATTATTATTTTTTTATGTGCTTTTAATTACAAAAATATTACAAATTTAATTTGATATATTGATTTTCCTTTACAGAATGTTCCTTTAAGATATTCATTCTACATTGAATGATTTTGGGAAATTTAAACGGGGCTGGGACACAAAGGGAATATATATGCGATATTGGATACACATTAAATTATACAGACGATAATTTGGTCTGTTCTCAAGACGGACATTGGAACAATAGTATTAATTCATGTGTACGTGAATGCAAATTTTTTAACAGCAGTTGGCAACGGGGTAGTTCATAATTGAATACACGATTAAAGAATTTATTGTGTAAATTTAATAATGGTGCACTTGTAGGTTAAGGTTCGTATCACATAATTTCTCTAGATTCTTAAATTTTTTTTAGTCACATTTTGAAATGCGAAACCAAAAACAACACGAATGTTCTGGTGTATTTCAGAGCAAATGGTTTGTGACAATTAAATCCTATTTATTCTTGTATACCAAAACAAAATATTTATGTCAAAATATCTTACAATATACGATGTAGTATTACAAAATACCAAGGTAACTATCAAATAATATCGTTTTTTATCACGCTTTTGTGTTACTCAAGATAATTAAAACTGTGTCATTCTTATGAAAGGGTTAATATCATGTTAATGTTGTATAACGCTTTTATTTTTATTCATTTATTTTTTTTCTTCTTTCTTATTCTGCCTTGTTTTATTACGACTTTAAATAATTTTATAATAATTCAGTTGATGTATCAAATGTGGCCAGGGAAAAACCAATAAGCATGTTAAGTACTTTTCATGAAGCAAACACATCCGATAAAGCTGTTGACGGTAATGTTAATCAAAGTTTTGCGGCAGGCTCATGTTTTCCATACTGGGTTTGATCTGAACGCTTGGTGACAGGCTGACCTTCCTGCACTATATATATCTGATTTGGATTTTTTTATTTGGCACAACATTGAATACCATGAATATTGTAAAGGAAGTCTTGGGGCAAATCAATGATATCAACTCGTTTACTTTTACCGACGATGAAAAGGCACGCTATGTTAAAGTTATGCTTCAAAACCAAAACTTTCTTCATCTTTGCGAAGTGCAAGTATTTGGATATGATGGTATAAATTCATACTCATCGTCTGTTGTTTCATGATAGTTTTATTTGATTATTTTGTTTTATACTTTTGTGATATCTTTGAGTGTGAATGATGTTGTGATAATATATAAAAATAGAGAATTAGAAAAAAAATATTGATAAAATTTAATATAATAAAATATTAATTAATCTGATATTTAATATTATAAGTATTTTCTCTAAGCCAACAGTCCCTGGTGATCATAAGTGTACTGTAATGATGTTTTCTAAAAATAATCGCAATATATCACTACAGTGTAACTTCTGAAAACCGAACACCCATGGGACTTACCAAAAAGTTTGGATTTCAGAAATTTCCGAAATTCAGAGGCTGCATAATTTTTACAATTTTGCTGCGTTGAGCTTTTTTAGGGATACTATATTTCTCTATTTTAGGATCATGTGGACCAGACTAAGCCACTAAATGTTACTAAATGTCAGGGGATATGTGCTCAGTACTGTAATATAATATATAATAGTCTTTTAATCAAGATAAAAATGTGAAGGTTTAGAAAGTGTTTCGTTCATTATAACTATATATCTAATGCAAATATCTGAAAAGACCATTATTTAAAGATTGTTCTCTCTTCATTTAAATCAATTAAAGTTTGCTCATGTTTATATTACCTGCAATGCCTTGAATTTTTCATATTCAGTTTGTATTAATGAATTGTTAATTTCCCCAAAAACTATTAACCCTTTGCCATACATTTTGCTAAGGGGGGGGTTTAATTTAATTAGTACATAAAGCTCAATAAAACCCTTTAAAGCCCTTTGGGCTTTCTTTAATTTTTACCATTTAAAGATACATTGTTATTTTCCTGGCGGCTAAAAAATTTTTAAAATTTTCAAAATTAATGACCGGCTCCACGAAATACTTTTGGAATTTAACTGGGATCTTTTGGCCCAAACCATTAATTTTCACCGCTTTGGGGGCCGGTTTTTGGACGTTATGTGTAGCATTCTAACTTTTTAAAATTCCCAAAAGTTTTCTCTTTCCCCGTTTTTAAATTTCTTGAATCGCTTTTTAAGGTGCTTAGGCGGGTTAGTAATTTGCACTTTTTAAATTCAAAAGTTTACTCTTTCACGTTTAAATGTTGAATTCTGCTTAAGCCGGTGCTAGGGGGCGTGGACGGTAATTTGCACTTTCCAGTACCGTCCATGAACAGGCTCAATCAAACCGAGCCTGCAACATTTTCAATTTTGCCGTGTTGGGCTTTCTTTATGGATTTTGTATTTCTATATTTTGTGATTTTAACGTGAGTCAAATTACGAGATCACCGCTAATTAGTAAACAATCGGTAGGGAGATTAAATCTTCCTGCAGGTTAAATATTCTTGATTTACAATGTTTTTTCAAACCATCACGGATTTTTGGGGAAAAATTACATTGATTTGACGAAAATGTCATCCGGAATTCATAAACTTAGAGGTTCTAGAATTCAGAAGTATTATATTAATAGAAAATAGAAGGGTAAAAATCGGGACCGAAAAAAAAGTTCGGATTTTAGAAGTTTCCAGATTTCAGAAGTTCTGGAATTCGGAAGTAACACTGTAACAAGATAACGTGACGTGACGTAAAATGTGCTAAAGAAGGAACCTCGAAATTTGTCGTTAGAAAGCGAGAGCTGCTCTTTTTCCATTTATTTATGACATTACTGGACAGTCGTCTACATCTACAGATTTTAAAGGGTTTGCCAAGAACCG